TGAGGTCTTGCCCTTGATAGGAAAAGCTTTCATTCCCAGGTACAGCTTATCAGAGTGTACATAGCAGGTGATAAAATTCCAAATAGAATCCACAAGTCAATTTAGTTAAAGTAAATGTTTCTCTGTGGGGCACTAAGTTGAAGCAAGGTTATTTTATGTGAGGTACACACACACACACACGTAACTCCTCAAATGATCTTATAATCCGTTACAGACTTTCTTTATCTTCTACAAATCTTTGTAGGCCCTTGAAAATACTCTTTAGATCCAGACGTGGATCAAAACTAGGCTTTTGTTCTATGACAAAATGTCATTGACCACGGCATACAAGCTATCTTTTTTATTTAATCACTTTTAAGCATGGTATGTTGGAGTGGGGACTTTTTATGCAAGAGATTGAGTAGGAGCAGGGAGGGAGAGAGGGAGAAGGAGAGGGAGTTGGACTTGGAGCTATAAGAAGCATCTTACAGAATTCAAACTTCAGTGTTACACTAGGGAAGCATAGGACTGAGTATGGACTTGGTTCTAGGCAGATGTGGCTCTATCATCTACCAGGGGCTTTTAGAAAAGTTTAGTCAAATTTAGATGATTTTTGCTAATCATTTTGAACAAAAATCTGCCTTTTTGAGATTAAGATAAAGGACTTAGAAAAAAAACAATTGGCCGGTGCCGCAGCTCACTAGGCTAATCTTCCACCTGCGGCGCTGGCACACCGGGTTCTAGTCCCGGTCAGGGCGCCGGATTCTGTCCCGGTTGCTCCTCTTCCAGTCCAGCTCTGTGCTGTGGCCAGGAAGTGCAGTGGAGGATGGCCCAAGTGCTTGGGCCCTGCACCCCATGGGAGACCAGGATAAGCACCTGGCTCCTGCCTTCGGATCAGCGTGGTGCGTGGTTCACATTGGGGTGGGAACCAACAGGAAAGGAAGACCTTTCTCTCTGTCTCTCTCACTATCCACTCTGCCTGTCAAAAAAAAAATAAATAAATAAATAAAAAAAGAATTAATCTTTTGAGCCAATTTTTTTTTTTTTGACACGCAGAGTGGACAGTGAGAGAGAGAGACAGAGAGAAAGGTCTTCCTTTTGCTGTTGGTTCACCCTCCAATGGCTGCCGTGGCTGGCACGCTACAGCCAGTGCACCGTGCTGATCTGAAGCCAGGAGCCAGGTGCTTCTCCTGGTCTCCCATGCCAGTGCAGGACCCAAGGACATGGGCCATCCTCCACTGCACTCCTGGGACACAGCAGATAATCTGGCGCCCCGACCAGGACTAGAACCTGGGGTGCCGGCGCCGCAGGCGGAGGATTAGCTATTGAGCTGCTGCGCCGGCCAAAAGATTGATTGGTAAAATTTAATATTTTGAGCACTCTGGCCTCAGAATCAGCCCTAAAGGCACTCGGATCTGGCTGAAAAGCCCATGAGAGTATTTCAGGCATGGAAAGCCAAGACACTCTGGCAAAAAGATCTCTGTGAGTGAGATCCCAGTGGAAAGAACAGGTCTTCAAAGAGGGAGGTGCCTTTCTCTGAAGGGAGGAGAGAACCTCCACTTTGACTATGACCGTGTCTAAACAAGATAAGAGTCGGAGAACTCAAGGGGCTTCCATAGCCTTGGAAACTCATAACAGGTGCATAGGGAGATTACTGATGCCATAAACAGGAGTGTCAATTTGTAAAGTCAACAACAGGAGTCACTGTGCACTTACTCCTCATGTAGGATCTCTGTCCTTAACGTGCTGTACACTGAGGCTTAATGCTATAACTAGTACTCAAACAGTATATTTCACTTTGTGTTTCTATGGGGGTGCAAACGATTGAAATCTTTACTTAATGTACACTAAACTGATCTTCTGTAAATATAATAACTAGACAGAAATTATCAATTCCCAACTTGACTCGCACTGGGGTTAAACATGACAATAGGTCTGATCTGATTTCATCATCATTTAAAAAAATCATCTATTATTTTTCACTTTATGTTTCTGTGTGGGAGCAAACTGTTGAAATACTTACTTAAGGTATACTAAGCTGATCTTCTGTATATTAAGATAATCGAAAATGAATCTTGATGTGAATGGAAGGGGAGAGGGAGTGGGAAAGGGGAGGGTTGTGGGTGGGAGGGACGGTATGGGGGGGAAGCCATTGTAACCCATGAGTCGTACTTTGGAAATTTATATTCATTAAATAAAAGATAAAAAAAAAAGAAAAAAAAATTTAATATTTTGGATCAGAGCTGTGGTGTAGTGGGCTAAGCCTCTGCCTGTGGTGCTGGCATCCTATAGATGCACTGGTTCTAGTCCTGGCTGCTCCACTTTCAATCCAGCTCTTTGCTATGGCCTGGGAAAGTAGTGGAAGATGGTCCAAGTGCCTGGGCCCCTACACCCATGTAGGAGACCAAGAAGCTCCTAGCTCCTGGCTTTGGATTGACCTAGCTCCAGCCGTTACAGCCATTTGGGGAGTGAACCAGCAGATGGAAGACCTTTCTCTCTGTCTCTCCCTTTCATTGTCCATAACTCTACCTCTCAGATAAATAAAGTTTTTTAAAAAAATTTAATATATTTAAAGGACCTACCTTATAATCTTTATTATTTATACATCAAACTTTCAATAGTCTGTAACTATTACTAATAAACTGATTATTTTCACTAAGAAACCAATAAAGTTCTTGGATTTATTTAGTTTGCTTCATTCTCCAAAGAAGGTAGACAGATTCATATAGATTTGTTATCACATTTTACCTATGAGGTAAGGAGCAAATAACACTTAGCCTGCGTTGTACCAATGGATAAACTAATGCAGTCACTACAAAAAATATACCTCAAGGTACACCAGTAGGATTTACCCAGAGATGTTAGCAGAGGCCTGATTTCTTGATCCTACAATTTTATCTTATTGGCATGGACCCAGTCAAAAGTATCCAGGGTGTGTTTACCTGCATAGCAAGCCCAGTACTGTAGATATCTCCTATGATGCCATTGTCTTTGATCCTTGCGCTGATATTCTCTACAATATTCTTTAGTACCTGACCAAACAGGTCTCTGTAACTTTCTTCTGACCCCACAGGGATCTTGTTGTACATACAGGTCAGAGCCAAGGTCGCCACTGCTCCTGTGTCTGTGAATCACAGCGGGGGTAGGATCACCACCACGACAATATAAACATCTCGCATTAGTTGTGCGCTACTTCTAGTTACATGATCTCATGTAATCCTCTGAGAAATCTGTGAATTAGGATCTGTAATTATTTTCATGTACAAGTTTCCTAGGTCACACAACCAGCAAGTAGAAACACCAGACCTGAACCCAGATCTGTGTAATTCAATGGCTCATGATTTGTGTTTGTACAGACTGGCAGTATGTTGAATCCTACTTCTCTTGTCCCAATGTCTATCTTTCAAAATGTCACCAGGTTTTGAAGGCCAGTCTTCATGTTCTCTCAATGAAGCCTTCTTGGTCATCCCAGCCCAACAGATAGAGTCTCTCTCCTTTAGCATTTGTTGTTTATACCTGTTTTCAATTTTGACACTCTCTGATATTCAAGGAGTCTACAAAAAGTTCATAAACATTGTGTATTGTGAAAATACTATGCGTGGATTTCAAAAGTTTTTTTTCCCACTAAAATACATGTATCTTTTAATTCAGTTTTCAATGAACTTTTTGAAATGTCCTCATGTGTTGTTGTTAATTGTGCTCAGTGAATGCTTGGATGGTGTGAACTTTGCATCCTCCCATAGCACTCAGCACAGGGACTTTTTCATCATTTGTGAGTGAGAAACTTGCAGACTGAAGGAACAGTTCTGGGATGAAAAGACCAGACCAAATGAAAAGCTCGCCAGGTCGCATCTTTTATTTCACTGATCTTTGCTCTCCACACTATTCTCTGAGAGTTGCATAATGTCACCGAGGGTGACTGTGTTACTGAATCCCAGAGCAAAGACGTCCAAACTCTCTAAAACTGGCAGAGATACCTCAGCAACGTGTGAGGTCCCAGATAGCAAAGGGACATCTGTCCGTTGTTTGACCCACCTACAGGCTACTAGAGCAAACGTGTACCTGCTTGTCCGATAGAAACAGAAACATGAGAAGTCACTAATGAGGCATGTGGAAGGAGGTGAAAACCCGAGGTAACATTTAGAGAATGACAGAGGGCAAAAGTGACCATGCAATATGACAGTGGCTCCCAGAGAGATGGGATAATTAACACAAAAGGGTGGCCAAAAGAAGGCCATTAGTAAGCAACCGTGTTTTCAGAACAAAGGAATGAGATGGCCCCAGCTTTGCTTTGAATGAGGAAATCATGGGTTTAAAGGTTCAGGTAGCAGCTGTTTAATTGAAAGAGAATATTTGGATATAACAATGATAATCATTGAGAAGAATAGAGTGTGGAAACATCAGTATTCATTAGAGAGAGGGAACAGGGTTGGACGGAGGCAAGACCTCAAAATTTAACTTAGGATCGACTTCTGACTTGGGTGACATGTTTATTGTTCCCAGTGGAGGTTCTGCAACTGTTAGAATATATGAAGTATTACCTTGGTTTCTGTGTCTCACTATTTTCCCTTTATTTGTTTATGCCTAATTCACATATCCAACAAGCTTTGTTAAGTATCTTCCATCTACACACTTTTCCATCATCCTTGGTTCTTTCCCTATGGAAAGCTCTCCTCTCCCACTCCCCTCTCCAGCTCCACCATTCTGTGCACTGTGCCTCACCTCGAATGTTCCCAGTTCAGGACAGTTTTAAACAGTGGTGATCTACTCACCCACACTGAAGGGAGAAGAACTGGCCAGCAGGGTCTTGGCAAAACGTACAGCTATTGGTAAGGTTGCCTCTGAGTTCTTCTGGCACAGGGCCAAGATGGCCAGACTGGGGCTGTAGAAGGCTGATGCGTCAGCGTTGGGACCTCAGAAGGGGACAGAGAGTCATTATTAGGTGAACAATCACTATTATGGAGACATTTGTGCAGAATGAAAAGTCAAAACTTTTAAATAAGAATTGCTAGAAAACCTGCCCCCAAAGAAAGACACAGTATGGGCAAAGGATAGCTTCAATGGTTCCTAGAATGGGAATGCCATCTGACATTTGAATAAAATAAAATGAATGATGATTTCATCAGACAGGTGATGGACTGACAAGGCCGTGTTCCTGGAGGTAATGGTACTTCGTTTTGGATTGGAAGTGAATCTCTCACTTGTGGGATTATTAGAGGGATCAGAGTGTCTCTTCCCTAACTTTCCATTTTTACCACCTCTAACTTCCTTGGATTTTAAATGCCCAGAAAGGAACCGTGCCTCCCTCTGCCATCTCTCCCAATGATGTCTCACTTGAAGGTGCCCACTTCTGCATCTGACTTTGCAGAATGGATACTTTATTCCCAGGGTCTCGGCAGGAGGAGGTGAGGGCCATAACGGTGAGGGCAAGCTGCCCAGTGGTTAGGTCTGCAGAGGAGAGAACAAAACAGTTACACAAAGATATTCTCAGGGAAGAGACCACCAGCAACCAGGGCTGACCCAGACCATGTTGACTTTTTAATAAAGTGAGTAGATAGGCTTTGTCTTTATAAAGAAAGAATATGGAAAAAATACTTGATGATATATTTAATCTCCTCAATTAATTTAATTAATTGGTTTCTGTGTGACTTGAGAACTCCATCAAGAATCCCTGGTATCTGGTTAGAAAAGCTACAGAGAAAATTTCCATAGGACAATTCAGAGTTACAAAATAATTTAAAGCTTTTATCTAACTTGAGCCTCAAGGTAATTCCTGGGAGGTAGCAAACAGAGATTTTACTATTATTATCATTGATATTGTTATTAGAGTTGGGGAGAGGTTGAGCAGGATTAGTGATCTGTGCAAAGTCCCAGAGTTAATAAAAGGCAGAGCCAGCCTGGAAGCCGGATCTTTAAACATCTGATCTAGAGCTCTTTGTGCTTTTCTGCCCTCTTCCATGAGTGCTCTGACCTCACACACACTTCTTTCTAGGTATTTAGCAGGTAGGGAGAAGTATTCATGGGACTAATCCAAAATTCAGGGAGCATGAGAGGGGCGTGGAGATCTTACCTGCAGGGTCACTGGCCATGAGCTCATAAGTCAGGAGCTTCTGTGCCTCCAAGCCATAGGCTCCAGCCAGGTTCATGGCAATAAGGATGCTGGGGTTTGGGAGGGCTGATGAGGTCACCGAATCCTCCATGAGCACTTGGATGCCATTAACCAATGACTGCTCTGATGCGGGAACCGCTGGGAAGAGAAAACCCCTAACCCTTATTCTTTGCCCTTAGAAACATGATTCCTATGTCTTTTGTTTCTTTTAGGAAATGACTCAGTTAACGTTGGTATTCTAAGTGACTTGAGAGAGATGGAAAAAACATTGAGATTTTTCTTTGGAAGACAATTATTAGTCCCTACAACTTCTCCATCCATATCTTTAAGATAGAAAATATGTTTTTTATGGAATAACTTCAAGGACTATGGCTCATGCACATTTCACATGATTTCTAGAACCTCCTAGGAATCAGTGATTTCTTTGCATCCCCTTTTTCCCAGCTGTTCCATGAAGAATATTAAATATTTTGGATATGACCTATTCTCAGCAGGTATCAACATTTCCCACTAGGACTTGGTCAACGTTGCCATTATTTATCTTTGAATCATCAATCATTAATCACACAAAAGAACTTCAACCTCTCAATTAAAAATGAATAGACTTGCCTTTCAAAGAGCTTGTGCCATCAAGTCAGGAAAGATGAAAAACACATACACCTGACTTACCTTTATTGGATCTCCAGCTATGATCATGATTTTCAACCACTTTCTCAGCAGCAGAGCTCAGTATCTGAGGTCTCTGCCTCTCCCTAGGGTGACTGCTTCCCTGACTTCCCCAGAGAAAATGCCATACTCACAGCATGAACTTTGGGTCTGAGTACTGGTCCCAGCCAAAGCCCAGAGAAGGTTCAGGAGGTGGAGGGCGAACCAGGCCATCTTACTCTTTCCGTCCTGTACCAGCACTCCTGTCAAATACCAGTATTTGCAAGTAGAGTCTTTCTCCACTTTCTCTTATATGCGCTTCTCTTTGTAAAATGGTTGGTTCCTGACCCAGCCACTTCTACCTACCTTCACCTCTCCTTTTCTTATATACCTAGTTCCATTTGCTTATCTAAGATTACCTACTATAGACACTCCAGTGTGTCTAAAGGTGACTCTTAGGCAGCACAGTCATGTGAAAAACATAAGGCTGGATATGCAGTGAAGGAGGTGACAAGAAATTGTCCTTTGCCAAAATCCTAGGTCATTCCATCAGGAAGTCTGGCTAATATGCAAATATAAACAAGACTTCTTTTAGGATAGCTGGCCAGGAAAATCTGTTGGCTTTTTATTAGCAACCACTTCATTGAGGTTTGGGCAATTCATAGGTGTCAGCTCATTTCATGGTGCAATACACCTACTTTGCAATACACCCTTTTAAAGTCTCAGGTGGGGATCTTCCAGGTGAAGTTGGAATTCATGCAATCGATTAAGCTGACATGGACCTGGGTTCTAGCCTACACTTTTTGAAATTGTTTGGCGTTAGGTAAGAAATGGATCCCATGGCCCCAAAATTGTTTTTGACTTTTCTTTCCTTATCTAGGGGTAAAAGCAGTTTCCAACTCCCAGTACTTTTAAATAATATAATCTTTAAGGTAACTGGAAAATGTGGCATCAACTTATATTAAGTACGTTTTTTTTTTTTTTCAAAAACGTAGCTATCCCCTAAAGCCGAATACATCTCACTACAGCAGAGAACTAGAAATAATATCTGAAATTATGAAGAGAGGGCTGATTATTTTTCTGCATTTTCAGTTCTTTTTTAGGAAGAAATCCTTCCATGGCTTCCATTTTGGAATGAAAGTCAAAGTCCTTTTAATGACCTACAAGTCTTTATAAGATTTGGCTTTTCTGACCCCACCTCCAACCTGTGTTTCCCTTGCTTACTCTGCTCCAGCCACACAGGACTGCTTGGTGTTCCTTGAGTGTGTCAGTAGCCTTTGCATTCTATGTCAAGAGATCCAGGGCAGTCTTTTTCCATATATCCTCATGGTGGCTCCTCACTTCCTTCATATCACTGCTCTGAGGTAAGTGCATAGACAGACCTTTCTGGACCATATGATATAAGGGAGTCTGCCCACCACTGACACCCATCCTGACCCTTACCTGTAACAGCCCATCATCTTCTGTCATACCAGGTGTGTGGTTGGTTATTGTTTTTTTTTTTTTGAATGACTGCATTAATAGGCAAGTATGAGACATGGATTAGAAGGTATTCTTTTCTTTCTTGGTGGCCCCACCTCCTGGTGTTTGCACCCTGTACAGTCCCTGTCTCTAAAGCAACCTCACTTCTAATGAGTGGGATGCAACAAAAGTGGTATAGGGGGCTGGCATTGTGGCACAGTGGGGTTAAGCTGCTGCTTCTAATGCTGGCATCCCCTATCAGTGGCTACATAGCTTCTCATCCAGTTCCCTGCTAATGCTCCTGGGAAGGCAGAGAAGATGGTCCAAGTACTTGGGCCTCTGCCACCCGAGTGGGAGACCAGGATAGAGTTCCTGACTCCTGGCTTCAGTGTGGTCCTGATCTGGAGCTGTGGTGACCATTTGGGGAGTAAGCCAGTGGATAGAAGATTTTCTGATTTTCTCTCTCTCTCTCTCCACACACATACACAACACACACACTCTCTCCCTGTCTCCTTCTCTATCTCTATCAGTCTTCCTTTTTTTTAGATCAATTTTTGTCTTTTATTTCTTGTTCACACAAAAACCTTTTTTCTTTCTTAACTAACCCATTTATCCCTATTCTTTTTTTTAACTTTTATTTAATGAATATAGATTTCCAAAGTACAGTTTATGGATTACATTGGCTTCCCTCCCCCATGACTTCCCTCCCACCCGCAACCCTCCCCTTTCCTGCTCTCTCTCCCCTTCCATTCATATCAAGATTCATTTTCAATTTTCTATATATGCAGAAGATCAGTTTAGTATATTAAGTAAAGATTTCAACAGCTTGCACCCACATATAAACACAAAGTGAAAAATACTGTTTGAGTACTCGTTATAGCATTAAATCTCAATGTACAGCACATTAAGGACAGAGATCCTACATGAGGAGTAAGTGCACAGTGACTCCTGTTATTCACTTTACAAACTGACACTCCTGTTTATGCCATCAGTAATCTCCCTATGCTCCAGTCATGAGTTTCCAATGCTATGGTCGCCTTTTGAGTTCACCGACTCTTATCTTATTTAGACAAGGTCATAGTCAACGTGGAAGTTCTCTCCTCCCTTCAGAGAAAGGTACCTCCTTCTTCAAAGACCTGTTCTTTCCACTGGGATCTCACTCACAGAGATCTTTCATTTAGGTCCTTTTTTTTAAAAATTTTTTTTTTTTTTTTTTTTTTGCCAGAGTGTCTTGGCTTTCCATGCCTGAAATACTCTCATGGGCTTTTCAGCCGGATCCGCATGCCTTAAGGGCTGATTCTGAGGCCAGAGTGCTATTTAGGACATCTGCCATTCTATGGGTCTGCTGTGTATCTTGCTTCCCATGTTGGATCGCTCTCCCCTTTATTTATTCTATTGGTTAGTATTAGCAGGCACTAGACTTGTTTATGTGCTCTCTTTGACTCTTAGTCCTTTCATTATGATCAATTGTGAACAGAAATTGATCACTGGGACTAGTGAGATGGCATTGGTACATGCCACTTTGATGGGATTGAATTGGAATCCCCTATCAGTCTTCCTTTTAAATAAATAAATAAACCTTTTAAAAAATATGCCACTTGGAACAACATGCTCCCATAAAAAACAGTGGTGGGATGAAGTAAGACTGACTCCCTTCTTGCTTGCTTTTCTCCTCTAATGATTCTTGCTCCTTGGTTTGATGAAATTGGCTGCCAAGTGTGAGCTGCCTACTGGAGAAATCCTTATGGTAAAGAACTGAGGGTACCCTTCAGCCAACATGCAGCCAGGGAAAAGAGTGATCCTGACAACAACCATACGAGCAAGGTGGAAAGCAACTCCTTCCACAGCTGAATTTTGAGATAAAGGCAGCCCCAGCTGATGTCTTGATGGCAGCCTCCTTATAGACCCGGAGCCAGGGGACTTAGCAAATCCACCCCTGGATCTTGATCCACAGGGACTATGGGATAATAAATGTTTTATTTTGGGCTAATTTATGGGGTAATCTGGTATGCAGCAATATATATATCCAATAAATGGTTATGGTAGGAGAGAAGACCAGAAAGATAGTTCAAGTCTATGCAGCAGAGGGCCTTGGATGGTACATGAAGTAGTAGGCAGAGCAATACCACTTTGACTCCCCTACCAGGTGTCTAATTCCTAATTGCTTGCATCTGTCACATGTTAGTTCGGTTATATAGCAAAGGGGAATTGAAGTCACACATAGAATTGAGGCTGCTAATGAGCTGAACTAAAGAAGGAAATGTTAGCTTGGAGTACCTGAGGGGGACCAGTATAATCACAAGGGTCCTTATAAGTGGAAACGGGAGGCAGGAGCCAGTCAGAAAAGCAGATGTGAGGATGCAAGCAGAGGTCAGGCTGACACAGTTGCTGGGTCTGAGCATGGAAAGGGGCCACGAGTCACGGATTGTAGGCAGCCTCCAGAAGCTGGAAAGGTTAGGAAGTGGACTCTCCCCTGGAACCCAAGGAGAACACAGCCCTTTATACTCCTTGGTTTTAGCCCAGTGAGACCAATTTTGGACTTCTGATCTCCAGAGTTGTCATATAATACATTCATGTTTACTAAATTGTGATAACCTGTTACAGCAACAGAAAGAATCTAATATGGATTAGGAACTCGGCAGGTACTGATCTTGGGTTCCAGCGCCGACTCATGACGATCCAGAGATGGTTGCACACCCTTTGTGGGCCACCTCCTTCACATGCACTTCCTTTAAGAAATCACGTACAGCCAGAATTGCTGCAAGACTGATTGTGACACAGTTGTTGCAGTTAGCACGTAACCTCCAGAACAAAACCCACACTGTCTATGCTTCTCTTAAGTAATGCATTTTGGTAATTTTTGATTAACTATTCATTGACTTATCCTGTGCCTATTTTCTTTTTTTTTTTGATTATGAATATTTTTATTAAATTACAGTACATTTAACAATATATGTTCTAGTAATAAGTTTTTACCTTTTGGGTACTATAACATCACAACTGTTTGGACACCCTATTTCTTGAGTTTCTTTTGGGCGGCTTTCTTCTTAACCATCTGTAATCTCTTCATAGCATTGAGCTGTGATTCTTGTGAAGTTGGACCTTTAAGGGATGCTGAGGAAGAGCTACTAGATTCTGAAGTACTTTTACTAGTGGTACTTCCACCAGGGCCTGATGTCCCACTATTTCCATTCCCACTTAGTTGGTTGCTGCTTCCTGGAACTAAACTACTTGGACTGGGAAGACCTACTTTGCTGACATTATCACAACTAACCGAGCGACTAAGGCCAGTTTTGCCTAAGGTCAGAGGTGGAGGTGGTTTCAGTGGTACAGTGGGTGTTGAACTATTATTGGAACCTATTTTAGAACCTATTCCACCTTTGGAAGATGTTGCCAGACCAGTCAAACCCACAGGCTTCTGGCTGGCTGATGAGGCAGCAGGTTTTCCACTGTTGTTTTGTGTTGTAGAACTCAATTTTGCTGTTGAGGGACCAGTAGAAGATGTTTTGACTGCAAACGCTGCCCACCCCGTTAGGCCACTAGTTACCGAAGAGGAAACACTGGTACTAGAAGAATGTCCTGAAATAACCGTGGATGTCTTGACTTCTGTTCTCTTGAATGCTTGGAAAGTTGTCTCTTGCTTGAGTTTAGTTTCTGGTTTCTTAACCAATGGATCTTTGACAGCTGGAGCTACAGAAACAACTGTAGGAGCTGGTTTCTGTGGTGGTTTCTGAGTTTTTTGAGCCATTCTTTTCATCTGTCTGGTACATCGGGCACAATACCACACCAGGCGAGGGTCATTCACTTCCTTGTCTGTTACCTGGGGTTTATGGCAGTCTTGGTGGTACAGATTATGGCATTCTTGACATTCGACTAATTGATTACCAGATGCTACTGTCATCTGCCTACAAACAACACAGACCAGTCCCATCTCCATAGCAAAATCATCAGCACTGGTCTCTTCAAAACTGGAAAGGTCAGCTATAGCTAAATCCTTGCTGGTTTGGACAGTAATGGGAGAGGACCGCGTCTCGGATTTCTCTAGTCTAGGTTTCTTTGGAATATCAGCTCCTTCAGTAACATCTGATTTTATTTTATCAGCAGGTCTCTTTTCAGCTTCCTTCTTTACCTTTTCAGTTGTGAGGACCTTGCCATTATTATTGCCTGAAGAAGATGGATGATGTTTTGGGCTCTTGCTTAATAGAAATAGCTTTTGTGCTTGAAATTTTGGGTGGCTCCACATCCTTTTGAGATGGACGGTAACTCGCATCAACACCCCGGGCCAAGGACTCATCAAGTAGTGCTTTCAGTTTCTCAGCAGAATCTTTACTCTTTGAATGTAAGAAACCTAGTGCTTTCAAAAAAATAGGGTCAAGTTCCAAGTTCACAGTAGCAGCCATTGCAAACACCGCTCCGCCCCGCCGCTCCGTCCGTTCCCAGTGGTCCTGTGCCTGTTTTCTTATTTCAAACTGTCCTGATGCTCTCTGGACAACTCTATAGAGTTTATTTATGGTGATTATTTTTGCTGTGATAGCAGATGGAAGTTTTCCCCCTTGGACTCAGTCTAGGTTCTGTATTAGTTTCAAGCCTTAGCAGCTTTTCAGAAGGTGTGACCGGAAGTAGGTTTTCACGAGCCAGTGTTGGTGGGTTGCTAAGGGAGTGTTATATCATTGATCTTCACAACATCTCTCATATAAAAGGTGTTTGTGTCAGCCTGCAGTGGTGCTGTGTTCTAGCAAGAGACTTCTGCCTGGAAGAAACTGAGTTGTTTCAGTTAAAAATGGAGGTTAGGGGAAAAAAATGTAGGTTAGAAGTGCTAGAAGGCATTAAAAAACATGCAAAATTAGAGTGGTTGTTGAAGCCAATTAGAAGATTTAAATGAGAACATCAAACAAAATCACTTTAAAATTTATTTATTTAAAAATTTTTAAGGGAAACAAATTTCATGTATTTCATAAATATAGATTTTGGAACATAGTGATACTTCCCACCCTACCTTTCCTCCTGCTTCTTCTTTTAATCCCTCTCTTAATTTTTACAATGACCTACTTTCAGTTTACTTTATACTCACAAGGTTAACCCTAAGTAAGTAAAGAGTTCAAAAAATAGTAATAAGAAAAAAAAAAACCACTGTTATTCAACAGTAGAGACAGGTTTGTAAACAATCATCAAATCTCAAAAAATGTCAATTTCACTGCTATACATTACATTTTTTGGTAATCTATTAGTTACCACAGATCAGGAAAACATGGTATTTGCCTTTTTGGGACTAGCTTATTTCACTAAGTATAATTTTATTGCAAAAGACAGGATTTCATTCCTTTTTTTTTTTTTTACAGCTCTTAGTAGTATTCCATGGATGGAGTATATATCACAATTTCTTTATCCAGTCATCAGTTTATGGACACCTGGGTTGATTCCATCTTATTTATTGTGAATTGAGCTGATAAACAAGGGGTACAGATAACTCATGTCACTTTAAAAAAAAGATTTATTTATTTATTTGAAAGTCAGAGTTACACAGAGAGGCAGAGAGAGAGAGGTCTTCCATCCGCTGGTTCACTCCCCAATTGACTGCAATGGCCGGAGCTGTGCAGATCCAAAGCCAAGATCCAGGAGCTTCTTCCGAGTCTTCCACACAGGTGCAGGGACCCAAGAACTTGGGCATTTACTACTGATTTCCCAGGCCATAGCAGAGAGCTGGATCAGAAGTCGAGCAGTTGACTTGAACAGGTATCCATATGGGATGCCAGCACTGCAGGCAGTGGCTTTGCCTGCTACTCCACAGAGCAGTTTTACCTTCACAGCAAAATTGGGAGTAGGGTACAGAGATTTTCCATACATGCATTGTCCTCACGTGTGCACAGCTTCCCCTATTATCAAAGGCCATGCTAGAGAGATACATTTGTTAATAATTAATAGACTGACATTGATAAATTAAATAATAACTGCATAGGAAATTATTTTTTAATGTTGTGATTTAATGTTATTTTATTCCATGTCCATATGCCAGTTCGAATAATATCTCAGATACACTTGAGAAAATAGATCTAATACAAATTTAGTGCTTTACTGGTGTTTAATCAATGTTATCAAAAGTGAGCTAAAATCATTGAGAGTGTCATAGCTCTCCAAGAAACCTATCTAACCATGTTATTTTGAGACTCAATATCATTGATCATTTGCAGGGTCAGTTATTTCTGTTGTTTGGATTTATTTGTGTTAATTATTTATCATTGGGTTCCATATTTTCAAAAATAAATAAATATTTATTCATTTTATTGATTTGAAAAGGCGGGAGTAAGGGAGAGAGAATGGGAGGAGAGGGGGGAGGGCAGGAGGGAGAGAGAGAGAGAGAGAGAGAGAGAGAGAGATCTTTCATTTGCTAGTTAATTTCACAAATGCCCACAACAGCTGGTAGCCAGGAAATCCATCTGAGTCTTCTTTGTAGATGGCAGAGACCCAAGTACTTGAGCCATCACCTGTTGCCTCCCGGAGTGCTCACCAGCAGGAAGCTGAATTCTAAGTGGAGGCACTCCACTAGTGAAGATGGGTGCCCCAGGTGGCTGCTTAATCTGCTGCACCACAACAACCTCCCTAGTTTCCGTTTCAGCTAAAACCAGTCATATGCACTAGTTTTCCAAGGATTGTATAAGTTTTAAATGTTTTTTAAAATTATTGTTATTTTAATTTACAGATAATAAATGTATATATTTATGGGGTGCAATGTGGTGTTGGTGAGGGGGATAGGGAGATTTGGTCAAAGTATACACAGTTTGTTAGGAAGAATGACTTTGTGACATAATTTGCATAGTGGGGTGACTGTTAATAAAAATGTGAATTTCAAAATTGCTAAGAGAGTAAATTTCTAATATCTCATCACAAAAAATAAGAAATTCTTCAAAAAGTAAAATTACAGGCGGGTGCCGTGGCTCACTAGGCTAATCCTCCGCCTGTGGCACTGGCATACCGGGTTCTAGTCCCAGCTGGGGTGCTGGATTCTGTCCCGGTTGCTCTTCTTCCAGGCCAGCTCTCTGCTGTGGCCCGAGGGTGGAGTGGAGGATGGCCCAAGTCCTTGGGCCCTGCGCCTGTGTGGAGACCAGGAGAAGCACCTGGCTCCTGGCTTCGGATCAGCGCAGTGCGCTGGCCGCAGCGGCCATTGAGGGGGTGAACCAATGGAAAAGGAAGACCTTCCTCTCTGTCTCTCTTTCTCACAGTCCACTCTGCCTGTCAAAAAAAAAAAAAGTAAAATTATAAATACCATATGATCCAATATCCCCACTCCTGGGCGTATGTATCCAAGCAAGTTGCAATCAGTCTGTTGAAGAGACATCTGCACTCCTGTGTTTGTTGCAACCCCATTCACAATAGCCAAGAATAGAGACAGCTTAAGTGTCCATCCACTGATGAATAAAGAACACAGTGAAATCCTATTCAGCCATAAAAATGCTGAAATCTTGTCATTTTCACTAACATTGATGGAATTCAAGGTTATTATGATAAATGAAATAAGCCCAGCACAGACAGACAAGTCCTGTATGATTTCACTCATGGTATTGAAAAAAGGTGATCTCATAGAAGCTTAGAGTATAATAGTTGTAATCAGAGGCTAGGGAGCGTAGGGGAGAGGGAAGAATAAGGAAAGGTTATTTAGTGGGTACTGAGTTATAGTTAGATAGAAGTGAGAAAGTCTGGTGCACTATTGAATAGTAAGATGACTATAGATAATGATAATATACTGTATATTTTTCCAAAAAACCTAGAAGAAGAGATTTTGGATGTATTCACCACAAAGAAATGATACATGCTTGAGGAGATATAAATGTTTACTTTTATTTCACATTACACGGTGTATTAATGTACCAAAGAATCACAGGTATCCTACAAAAATGAAAAAATTTTATGTGTCTGCAAAAAAATTTATCAAAAATATAAATGAGTGAAGAGTATGTGAGCTAGCTTGATTTAATCATTCCACGTCGTCAGCTGCATGAAAGCAACCCATTGTTCAGGTAATTATCAACAGTGCTCACATTATTTTTTAAGTTTTATTTATTTACTTGAAAGTCAGAGTTACATAGAGAGAGAAGGAGAGGGAGAGAGAGAGAGAGAGAGGTCTTCATCCGCTGGTTCACTCCCCAGTTGGCTGCAAAGGCCAGAGCTGCGCAGATCCGAAGCCAGGAGCCAGGAGCTTCTTCCAGGTCTCCCATGTGGGTGCAGGGGCCCAAGGACCTGGGCCATCTTCTACTGCTTTCCCAGGCCATAGCAGAGAGTGGGATCAGAAGTGGAGCAGCTGGGACTCCAACCGGGGTCCATGTGAGTCACCGGCACTGCAGGTGGCGGCTTTACCCACTACACCACAGCACTAGCCTCTCACATCATTCTTAACAGTGTCCTGATTGGATGATGAGTGGTCACGTGACTCACAAGGGACAGTAAAAAACAGTTTTAATATTTTATGTATTTATTACCTCAAGTCAATATCTTCAATTTCACACAAATTGTATCTTTTACAGAAAGATCTGCCAACTTTTCCCTGTGCTAGCAGGACCCCGGTGGTCCAGAAAGATTACATGCTTTTCTATATCTCTAATTTAGTTTTGAAGATGAGACAAAGACCTCAGAGGGTACAGCCCATCACTGGCTAGAAGTGAGGGTATCTGTCACATCCAATTAATGAGAGCCTGGGATGAGCTGAACTTGAGAATCAAGGATCAGCATTAGAAAGAAGTACATTAGAAGCATTAGAAAGAAGCAGCATTAGAAAGAAGAAGAATCAATTTCTGACTATGAAGTGTGGTTACAAGCAGAGGGGAGAAAGTTAAGTTTATCATGAAGAAAGCACATGGAGTATTGAGTATTCAGTATTGCTAAAACAATTCCTCCTGATTGTGTTTTTTTTTTTTTTTTTGGAGCGGGGGCTACTTTAAATGGGTTACTATATACTTTAAGTGAGGCGTATTTAGCTCTTTGGCATCTTAAAAATACTTCTGTTCCTGACTGTATCTGCTTATAGCACAGGGACTTACCAGTGTATGGAGAGTGGATTACAACTTATGCTGCCTAGACATGATTCAACAATCTACAATGTGAATTCTGCAGAAATCAATAATGATGGTGATTTTTTGCATGCATATTTTGATGATGTGAATATCAGAGTGATTTTATGGGGAAGTAAAAGAAAAATAAATGTGGGATAAGAACAAGTGGGACCCAAGGGAGACAGTTTAAGTATTCCTTAAACTGTGGACTAGTATTTTAATGTGTAAGCTTCACACTTCTCCCTTCTTCTAAGAAACATTTCCCCCTCTATCCTACACTATCTGTATGAAGTCTGTATAGCCATTGAGTTTCTTCTTTGCACCTGAGCCTCAGAGAGCTTAGTTTTCCTATAAAATTTCTGTTGATATCCTTCGTCACTGCTGCAAAATTATATCTAGAGCTAAATGTCCATTTTCCCAAGTTACCCCATGGTATCCAAACAGTGTGGACACTTTGAGTAGAAATTAGCTTATTAGGCAATGTAGTGTAATCTCTTTTCACTTCATTCCTTTCTAAGGTGATCGCCCCTCTAACAACTTAAAACAGTTTAAAATGAACAATAATTGTACCTACTTATGGAGCACAAGGTGACGTTACAATACATGTACACAATGTGTACTGACCAAATGAGGGTAAACAAGCTGACACTTCCTTTGACATTACCTTGTTTTTGCATCCTTGGAGATATTTCTTATATTTGCTCATAAAATACATAAAGGTTATTGTGAACTATAAGATCCTTTAAAAGTGATTCAAATGTACTTTTGGTCTGGTTATCATATTAATCTTTTATTGAATATGCATAAAAAGAAGGGAAGGTTAGTGAATCTCTTCTTGGGAATGGAATAAATGAAAAGGAAAGCATTAAGACAATTTTTCTGCATGGAATCCCATTGCGTTAAGTCCGTCCAGCTGAGCAAGTTTAGACTTGTTAGTATTTGCTCCAGTGAATTTCTAAGCTTTCTCCATCGTGGACAACATAATTACCAACTCCTGCAAAGGAGAAGAAAGAGAATTGAGTCAAATGATTTGATCACGGAATCATCGAATAATGAATACCACACCACCTCTTCCAATACGTCCACTCATTTCCCACAAACGCTCACATCCTCACATGAGAACACTGGGCTTTTTCACTCTGGGTCTTTTGGGCATATCGCTCCCTTACCTTGGCTCAGTGGTTTGCCTCCACTCAGAATTTCCCAAAAGGTTCTCTCATTATTGTTGGCCTTTAGGCCCTGAACAGAGGTGATGTAGGGGCCCCATGAGCTCTTCTCCACTGTGAAACTGTAAGGGATGGAGAACAAGTCACAGAGCTTAGATTTTCAGGAGAAATCCTACACAGGCATCTCTCAAACTTTATTATGCCTCAAACCCACTTGGTGATACTACAGGAATACAGATTTCCTTGACCTTGCCTTATATACTTTGATTCTCAAGTTTGGGCTAGGGACCAGGAATATGCATGTTTTATTAATTCTAGATGTTTCTGATGCAGGCTTTCTGCACTCCATGCCCATGGTTTCTGCCTGAATCCTTTCCTGTCATAGTGGACACTTGCAGTTAATAGCTTCAGCTTTTCACCCAAGAAAGTAACTGTTGAAGATACTGAGTCAGAAGAGGAGTGTTAACTTTGGGTCCTGGAGGCATCATAAGTTAGTGGATTTTCTCTTAGGAAAGAGTAACAGGAGAGAATAATTTGATATTTCATGATGTGTTTATTAGAAAGTGAAGTCTTAAAAAAGGACGATCTCTTTGAAGTTAAAAAGGTTTAGTGGTGGTTACCAGAATCTGGGCTGGGAGAAACGGAGGGAAGAATGGAGAAAGGTTACTTAATAGGTACTGAATTATATCTGGATAGGAGTAAGAAGAGACATTGGTTTGATATATGTATTAAAACATCAGGGGATATCCCATAAATATTACAATTTTAATTTATTTTTAAAATTTTTCTTTAAAAATGATTTAAAACTGTAATGAACAAATAAAAAGCTATATTGCCAATGTTTATTTCTCATTCCTAACACATAGTTCTCTACCTTTCTGTCACCTTTGAAAGCTTTTATAATAAATTATATATATGTATATGTGTAAAATTATATATATATGTATATGTGTAAAATTATTCAGATTTTTCTATAGAATCCTACATCATATTGTTGGACACAATAAATAATTGTAAACTAGATTTAAGGAAACAAAAAAATCATGCTTTTCAGAGGCAGAGTCGATATCTTAATTTTAATATTTGATTTCATAGGCACTTGTAAAATTCCTAATGTAAATGTCAAACTTTTTATATTCATTTTCTGGAGTGAACGTTTATTGCATTCATCTAATTTTCAAAGGAATCAGTGGTTCAAAAAGTTAAGAACCACTGTTTTAGACCCCAAATGTCTGAAGCAAGAGATTTTATTTATTGAAGTTTTTCTGAAAAAAGAGAGATAATGAATCTGGAATTCATTTATTCATTAAATGAACATTAATTTAACACCCAGAATACCTGGAAGTTGAAATATTTCACCTTAACACCTACTGTGAGATGTATGTGGAGAGCAAAAGTACTGATCAGAAGAGATTTACATGCATTTTTTATTCAGGTCTAGATGTATCCTTACTCAGTCTTTTGAAATCACAGTGAGCACGTTGACCTTAGGTTATGGACAGACATACCCAAATACAGTCTCATTTATTTTCTGAGCTTCCTCCATCACATCTAGGAAGACAGAACCACTTGGCACAGTGACGGTGGTGGAATATGTTTTGGTGATTACTACAGAGTAATTGACCGATATATTTGAGGGTGGGTTAGGAGTTGTCACAGATTTAGGCACATGACTGGAAATATTGAAGGTACCTGGTAGAGACAGAAAAGCAGTCAGCAAGATTCAGGATAATTAAAATCATGTTAGGATGTGGTCATCTCTCCCATCCTTATCCAAGGACTACTTTCTTAATGCAGAGGTGGATTTGCTCCAGGGAAATCAAGGGGCAGATCTAGAATATAACTAAAGCAGAAACTAAAACCAGAAACTTATTGGCTTGTGAATGCTGGCAGTTGACTTAACTTCCAGGCACTTAAGTAATTCAGCTGCCCTAACTCCCATTTCTTTTCTTTTTTATTCTTTAAAGATTTTATTTATTAATTTGAAGGGTAGAGTTACACGCAAAAAGAGATACTCCATCTGCTGGTTCATTCCCCAAATGGCTGCAACAGCCAGGGCCAGACCAGGCTGAAGCAAGGAGCTTCTTACGGGTCTCCCACATGGTTGGCAGGGGCCTAAGGACTTGAACCATTTTCGACTACTTTCCTAAGCTCATTAGCAGAGAGCAAGATCAGAAGAGGAACAACTGGGACTCAAACCAGCACCAATATGGGATGCTGGCTTTGTAGGTAGTAGATTTACTCACTATACCACAATGTTCACCCCTAATTTCCATTTCTCACAAGGATCCTGATTTTTTTCCTTTTGGTATAGAATCTAATATTTTTTGTCTTCGCTCCTCTCCTCTTATTCCTTAGCATTTACTAGAAATACATTAAGTGCTAGATGCCATATTAATTAATTTATATGAATTTTCTCATTCAATTCTTACAAAAACCTATGTTCAATATTCTTAATATTCCCAATTTTTACATCAGAAAACTGAAGTTTTGAGGTTAAATAATACGTTCAAAACCTCTAAATCTGTAAGTGACTGAACAGAGGTAGAAGGAAATGTCTCCTTTATTTCTGTTTTGTTGCAAAAAATTTATTTGAATAAATTCATGCTATGATTTTTTTAGAACACTGCCATATTTCTTCCAAACAAATGTCTTATTTCCCTAAGGGATCACTCAATGTGGATAATGAAAAGTCAGAGACACAATACAGATTCTCTATACTTTGTTTAGGATAGGAGTGATTTTCAGATCTTTCTTATATCAAAAAACTGGAAAACATCCCTTTGGAGATAGATGTCATTTAACCAAGTCTACCTTGCATATCAACATTGGAACCAACAAATAACGATTTCTATCAATCCATTAGGAACAAGTCCTTAGGTGGCTGTTGTCCCTGATGAAGTCGTGGGAACTGAATTCTATTTAGCAGCTTTAGGGACTTCTCTGGTCATTTTTGGTTCCTGAGAACCCCCACATTTCACATGGTTTGACTGTTATTCTGAAAGGTGAGATATTCACATTCGTTAGTGGTTGTACCTGAACCACTGACACAAGAGGAGTCTTTGCTAACATCCAAGTACGTCTTTCCCATCAGGGCAGGTAAGATCTGGGCTGCAGCAATTGGAATATTGAATGCTCCCTGAGAAATTTCTGTAAGTACTGTGTCCAGAGTTTGTTGGCAATTCCATTCACTTTCTTTATAATAGTTTGATGAGACAAAAAGTGCCTAGTGAGAGAGAGAGAGAGATGGAGAGAGAATGAGAGACACTTCAAATAAGGGGGAAACCTACATACAACTAATTTAGTGGGTATTTATTAGACATTGACTTCTTAGGAGGCATATTAGATAAATAAGACATCTTTCATGCCAACAATGAGCTTGCAAACTTGTTTGAGCGGGGGAGGTGAAGAATTGCTTAACGCAAGCTACAACAGCTTCAGTGAAAACAGACTTTCTTTGCTGTAATTCACTCCTGCATCCCAACACTAGAAAAATTCTTGCTGCCTGTAGAAAGCACTCAATAAATATTTGTAGTAGGCACACTAATGTGAAAGGGGTCTTAAGGTGATTGTTCTAAGAGAAGCACCCAGTTGCATGGCCTTTCAAAAGAGGAAACGAGCTCACAGATGTCTATGAGGGTGAGGATAGACTTCACTGGACTGGGGGGCACTCACAGTAGGCTTTGGTGTCATGATGGCCTTTTGGTAGGTGAAATGAGAAGGGGAGATTTGTATTCAGAGGGAAGAACATGAAATTCAGGGTGAGGTATATGACAAACTTTGATTGACAATAGAAAGTCTGGTAGTTTGTTGAATAGAAACTATCCAAGCAGCAAAATGTAAGTTCAGCTGAAGGAGCAGAACAGTGAATTATTATTAAAAGTTAGGAGGCCTGGACTTGGCAGATGTTGTTCTACTACATGGAAACTATACTTCTCATCATCTTTCTTTTGGGACACTCTCAAAGCTAATCAACTAATCAACAAGCAGTTGTGGGATATTAAGATCAAAGTAAAAGTGGTTGAATTCCAATTAAATTATATCTTCTCTTAAAAACCATCTTGTAGGCAAGTAGCTCTTGACTCTACTATGCATTAGCATTACATGCAGTGATTTTAAACAAGACCAAAGCCTAGTTCCATACTAAATTTCTGTATTAACTGTCTAATGTGGGGTCTAGTTGTTAGTGTTAGTTCTTTCAGGGGATTCAAAATATAGCCAAAATGAGAAGGCACTTAGCAGGACAGACAACACCAGCAATAAAGCCAACCCTGGACTCTTGCTTACAGCACCAGCTTTAGTATGTGCTATTTCCCCAGGGCCCTGTACTGGTCATGCTGAACACCTTGGTCTTTCTAAAATGCCTAATGGTCTTTCATGCCTTGGGTTTTTGCCTCTCTGCCCTTTCTCCCTTGAGAATCCTCTCATTCCAAGGCAGCTTGACTTACCGAAAAAAAAAATGTTTTTTAACAATTTATTTATTTGAAAGTCAGAGCTACCAAGAAGGGGGAGAGACACAGAGAGACAGAGAATCCACCATCCCCTGGTTCACTTTCCAGATGGCCACAACAGCCAGGGAAGAGCCAGGCAAAAGCCAGGAGCCAGTAGCAAGAAACTTCGTCTGGGCCTTCCAGGTAGGGGGCAGGGGCCCAAGCACTTGGGTCATCTTCTGCTCCCTTTCCCAGGCTATTAGCAGGGAGCTGAATCATAAGTGGAGCAGCTGAAACTCGAACTGGCACCCACATACGATGCTGGCAGCACAGGCTGTGGCTTTACCCCTATGCCGCAAAGCCGGCCCCTTAGTGAAAATTTTTTGATATGAACTTTCCTTGCTATCTCCTTGTATCTACCCCTTCAAGTTGAGAAAATCAATAATTAAGGCAGGGATAATGTAGAAGAATTCAAAATAAATATATCACACTATAGGTACTGAGTGTGAGTTTTGTCTTTTTTCACCATTTTCTGGTTTTGTAATAAGAGGTAAGTGACTTAAACTTTATGACTTATGCTAAACAATGGAGGTAATAGTTACTCACTGAGTTGCTGTGGTCATTAACGAGTTAATAGTATTCAATAGATATTAGCTCTTGTTACTATCATTGTCACTTATTACTTATATTGCGATAATTTAGTTTGGGAGGTAAAATGAAAGCACAAAACATTGGTATATGATTGTGAAATTGCACATGACAGAAGAACAAGATAGGTTGTAGTATATTCTAAAATTCTTTAAAGAAATTGCAGTTAGGAAAACCTTCATTGAACTATTTGTTCTGGGGAGTTGAAGTTGAAGTTGAAAAGAGTAGGGGTGGGAAATCATATAAACAAAATCAAAGTTAGTATAGGAACTGCAGAATAGATAATATGATCTTAGGAAATCAATAAGAAAGGATAATGATACTTCTTTCCTCCAGAACTCCCTTCTCTGTCTCCTATTCTAGCTTCTGACTTACCTGCATAGCTTCTCCTGTACTAAATATGTTTCCAATGAGACCATTTTCTTTCTTCTGAGATAGAATTTTTTTTACCAGTGATGCTATGTGATTATTGATCTCCTTTAAGTCCTCTTCACCTGCTTTGATATTTCCATTTATTAGACTCCTCTTCATACAGGTCAGAGCCAAGACTGCCATCGCTCCAGTGTCTTTCAAGAAACAAAATATTGGTGATAAGGCAACCAACTGTCTTAGTTTGTCCTATACTGAGATGTTTACCTTTCAGTACTAAAAGAGTGACAGATCTGTAAAACTTGGGATAGTTAATCAAACTAATTGATGAAAGAAGAGAAATATTTTTAAAGATATAGCAATAATTTCTTCCAGTGCTAACCAATATTCTAGATACTTTATGTTGTGTTGCCATTCTTAATACTTTGTATCTTGGCCATAAAACACATATAGATTTGCAGGTGCAATCCTTTGGACAGGATTCCGCTTTTATATCTTGGTTGCCCCCATCTTGGCCATCTTGCTCCACTCTTTCAGCCACACTGACAAAGGGACTGAGAAAACCCAAGACATTGTCTTTGTATTTTCCCAATCAATCAAGTAGACAGATTAGAAAAAAAAATTTAACAGAATTATTCTCCAATAAATCCCTTTAAGGTGGAAGATGAGGGAAGGGATTGGAAGAAGAAAGGATAAGAACTTTTATTTTTGGGTGTCTTTTAGTATGATGCCTTCCCTCTCTTATTGGGAAAGTAGGATAGAGATAGCACATTCTCTTTACTTTCCAGAAATACTGAATGGCAATTTGCTTTGAAGTTCTTAAAGAAATATGAGAGTAAGTATCAGGCTCCATAGGGGGTGAGTGTCAATACTAGCTGTCTAGCAGAGCCTTCTCCATTATGAATGCACACTTTATTGTCAAAATATTGAATGAACCTTGTTCCTAGAAGGTTATGCTGTTCAAGTCAACCCAGGTATCTAAGTTGTTTCAATAAGTTAGAGAAAGAGGCAATGATAAGATAAAGGAATTCAATTGTATTTTATTTCTCTAAAATTGTACTTCCTAAAGCATTTTGTACCAATATTCTCATGCTCCAACCTCATTTTATGGATGACAAAATTAAATTCAAGAGTGAGCATTAGTTACATGACTCAAAGAAGAACTGAGGTAGGAACCAGGTCTTTCTTTTACACCAGACATCTAGAAATAGGATTAAATGCCAACCATTATCCATTATTTCTAAAAACAAAGCATTATTTTTTGAGAGGATTAGGGTAAAGAAGACAGAAAAACTCAAAGGGCAAGACCTACATGTCCCAGTGCCCCTTATTTCAAGGGAATGTGGCTAATGACTTACCTACTGAGAACTGGCCACGAAGATAATAGTTTTTATTTTCAGGAGAGAAAAGGTCAGCAACTTTGGTGACTGAGTAGTTCCCATTAAATAGACACAAGACCAAAACATCCAGGCTGACCTGGTAGTAATTAGTCAGTGGATTGCCATCATGTGTTCCTGGCAGAGAGAAGAAAAGAAATGCCTTATTCATGGAGCTCATACTGGGATAATACATTTTCAATGTATTCCAATGTACTTTATCCTCCTTTCTTTATTTTTACAGAAGATGCAGACAATAAAAGGGGGGAAATTGTCTACTGGATTAGTAAACCTAAGAAAATTTTTTAAAAGATTTTGTTTATTTATCTGAGAGGTAGAGTTACAGACAATGAGAGGGAGAGAGAGAAAGGTCTTCCATCCTCTGGCTCACTCCCCAATTGGCTGCAAAGGACAAAGCTGAGCCAATCTGAAGCCAGGAGTCAGGAGCTTCCAGGTCTCCTGCACAGGTGCAGGGGCCCAAGCACTTGGGCCATATTCTACTGCTTTCCCAGGCCACAGCAGAGAGCTGGATCAGAAGAAGAGCAGCTGGGACTAGAACCCATGCCCATATGAGATGCTGGCGCCGCAGGTGGAGGATCAACCTACTGTGCCACAGCACTGGCCCCACAAACCTGAGAAATTTAAAAACTCTTAAGGGTTACCAAATTCAACTGAATTTTTTTCCTTTTATTATTGAGGAGATCCAGAATTAAAGTTATTAAAATGCTATACAGATACTTGGGGAGTTACAAGGCTAGGACTAGAATGTAGGTTTCCCATGCTCAAGTCTCTTGCACTTTCAATAGTAAGGCATTGGTGGAAACTAAGCGGAATCATGATTAGAGGCAATCTCAAAGGATGTGGGATTGGAGGAACATAAGAAAAATAAGCCAGATACAGAAAGACGAATATTATGTGTTTTTTTCTAATATGTAGAAGTTAAATAAAAGTTGGTCTTAGAATAGTGATGGCTAGAGGCTGGGGAGGGTGGGATGTGTTGGATGGAGGGAGATTACATGACAGGTACCAAAACACAGTTAGAGAGAAGTACTACATCGTAGTGTTGCACAGCACAGTGGGATGACTATAATTCACAATAAGGTATTATATACCATATAAAGAACTGGAAGAGAGGGAACTACTAGACCCCAACACAAAGAAAAGGAGATAGAAGAGCTAATTCCTTGATTTGATCAGTTTATGCTACAAACATGTGCTGAAAACTTGAACTCCAGCCCATAAAAATGCATATGCATTAAGTGCTAATAAAAACTTTCAAAATTAAAAATTAATCAATAAGATAAATATTGAATGGGAGTTGGAATACAAAATAATATACCTCACTAACAGCTAACATGGTCGACACATATTTCCCAGTGTTAAAGTACTTTGGCCCTCTCTGGCTATTTCACTAGCATTGGACGCTTCAGTACTCATGACACAGGCATAATAAAGAATACAGTGTGCATTTTATTTTTTCTAAAAGCCAAGTTCCTGGAGGATTAGAGATCTGTGTCTTACGTGTCTGTATGAATCTGCCATCATACATAGTGCTTGATGTAGAATCAATGCCCAGTTGAACATATTTAAAAATAGAGTTCAGGAAGCACATTAAAAGAGGAAAGAAGAAAAAGTGACCCACAAAGATATGGTGAGGTGAACAGGATAAATATAAGGAAGGAATGGAGGGAAACTTCATATAATTCTTAAACAATAGAGGAGAGGTCAAGGCTATCATGGGTCTGATCATTTTATGCTTACCCATATTTTCAATTTCTGCTTGGAATTTATTTTGTAGATGACTGATGAGGTGATGATCATATATAAAGGTTTCATCAGGGGTATGGCATGCTCCCAAAGCAAGTATTATCATGGCAAGCTGTCCTGAGCTTAAATTTGACTCTGAAAATAAAAATATTTAACAAGGTACATGCTTGTGACTTCCCATCTTCCTTGTGACTCGTATTGCTTATCATTTCATTCCTCTGTGCCACTCTACAGTAATATTTTGTTCTCTTTTTTTTTTAATCCCCAAATTAGGGCTTATTATGGTAGTATGATATAAATGTAAGCCAAATTTTAGTCTTTCTCATGAAATTATAAGATCTTTTAGCAATAGCAAATCCTTATAAAAACAAAAAAAGAAGAAAAACAGATAAATAACAAACCTTGGGATTTTCGCTCTGTGATGCCAGTTTGCTAGGACAGTAATATTTGATTTTTATATTCTGCCTTATAGTTTATCAAAATTCTCAACTTCTCATAAGTCTTACAGATTTTTAAAAAAATTTATTTTATGTGAGACACAGAGTTACAGACAGAGTGAGGAAGAGACAGAGAATATTTAACTAGTACTCAAACAGTATTTTTCACTTTGTGTTTCTATGTGGGTGCAAACTGTTGAAATCTTTACTTAATGTATGCTAAACTGATCTTCTGTATATAAAGAGAATTGAAAATGAATCTTGATGTGAATGAAAGGGGAGAGGGAGCGGGAAAGGGAAAGGTTGTGGGTGGGAGGGAAGTTATGGGGGGGGGGAGCCATTGTAATCCATAAGCTGTACTTTGGAAATTTATATTCATTAAATAAAAGTAAAAAAAAAAATTAGGTCTTCCAACTGTTGGTACACCCCCCAAAATGGCCGCAATAGCTGGAGTTAAGCCAATTTGAAGCTAGGAGCCAGGAGCATTTTCTGGGTCTCCCATTAGGTGTAGGGGCCCAAGGACTTGGGCTCTCTTCCACTGCTTTCCCAGGCAATAGTAGAAAGCTGGATCAGAAGAGGAGCAGCCGGAACTTGAACAAGTGCTCTTATGGGATGCCAGTGCTGCAGGTGGAGGCTTATCCCACCATGCCACAGTGCTGGCATCCTCATAAGTCTTACAATGATATTATGAGACAGGTAAAGGTGGCCTCATTGTCCCCTTGTACCTATTAGAAAATTAGGGCTCAGTATTGACCTGACTCGCTCAAAGTCAACTTGACTCATACTGAGTACAGTATTATTGTTATATGATTAAGGTTTCTTAGTTGCGGTTTGTACCCTTATGTGTTTGTGAGCACAGCAAGATTATGTAACAGTATTAATGGTTAAGAGCCTACATTTTCTTTTGCTTTTTCTTGTGTCCCTTTGAAGTAAAATGTATTACAGGACTAAAAGACACAAGATCCAGCTCTGGAACAAGTGGCAGGGACTGGTATTTCAAGACACCTTTCTGTCAAATTAAATTTCACACAGCTAAGTTATAGTAGGACTACTCTGGACACACAATTGTTAGAGTTAGGAGGCCATCATTTATAACATAGGTTTTGCTAAACCTCCCAGAGAACCCAGGCACTCACCTCTCATCTCCACACTGGATCTGACTTGTTGGGACAGCTGTTGTTTTAGGGTTTGGTTCTGCATCCCAACAAGTCTGAGGGACAACAGAACATTGGCAGATTGGGTTCCACTTGTATATTTTGAAGTGGTCATTGTGCTCAACAGAGAGTTTAGATGGACATCATTTTCTTCAGTTACCTCTGTGGCAAAAGGGAGGAAATAAGAAACACACACTCAGAAAATACAAAGATGGATGGATCAAGGGTTACATTAAAATATTTAGTAACCACTACAGCACAGACCTAAACCAATACAGCAGCCACCAGCTGCACTGGTGGAATAATAAAAATGTGAGTCTGGAGTCCCCTTTATGCCATCCACTCCTTCTTTAACAGCCAGCATGGAAACATTTCAATACCTGAACATTGGTACAGCCTTTCTATCATGTACTGTCAGAATATCAGTGTTGCCTGGTGTATCTAGTGTTATTCTGTAATTTTGTATGTGAAACCTAGAGATCATAGCCTTCAAGAAACATCAGTGTTTGGGTCTTATTTAGAGCAAGAACACACATTTTCTGATTCTCTCATAGACCTTTCTACTTCCTGGATTCAATTCTTACCTTATCCATCTTCTTCTAAATCAATTGGGTCAATACAGAGGAAATACAGGCAAAATTCTATGTTACAGTAGTGATTAACACTTCAACTGCATTATCTGATTGTCCAATTAGTCAAGCATCAAGATCATTTTTAGCAATATTCCCCACCCCCCCGCCTTGGAAACTCCTTAGTTTTTTTTTTTTTTTTTTTAAGATTCATTTATTTATTTGAAAGTCAGATTACAGAAAGAGAGAAGGAGAGGTTCACTCTCCAGTTGGCCTCAATGGCTGGAGCTGCACTGATCCAAAACCAGGAGCCAGGAGTCTCTTCTGAGTCTCTGACGCGGGTGCAGGGGCCCAAGGACCTGGGCCATCTTCTACTGCTTTCCCAGGCCATAGCAGACAGCTGGATCAGAAGTGGAGCAGCCGGTACTTGAACCAGTGCCCATATGGGATGCCAGCACTGGAGGCAGCAGCTTTACCTGCTACGCCACAGTGCCGGCCCCAACTACCAAGCTTTAACCTGTAACATTCTAAAATCCCAGAACAGAGGATGTAGCCAGATCACATTACATGGTGGAAGTAAAAAGAGAATTCAGAGCCTTCAAAGAAATAGAGGAGAATAAAAAGAGTCAGCAACTATATAAAATATGATAAATTTTCCATGTACTTTGATCATAATCTTGAGAAATCACCCAAATCCTACCCATCTCCAGATGATTCATGGATTGATGGGTTATTGGGAGAATGAGAAAAACATGAGCTCTGACTAAGCCAGACCTTGGCTGGACTCACTGTCTTTACCTTATAATCATGGAAAAATTATGTAACTTTCTGGCCCTCAGTTTCCTCATTAAAAATATAGATAATAGTACCTACTTCACAGGTACTGGACAATACATCACTTAACTGTAAAATGCTATACACAGTATAGCTTCCAGATGAACTTTCTGTCACTAAGAGATTCCAAGAAAGGGTTCCCTTGCCACCCTTCTTCACGTTAAAAGGAAGAGTCAAGGAAATCAAGAGCAGTGATCATAGAAAGGTCGTGGTTTGGTACAGCACAATAGGACAATTGTGAGTTGTTTCTCTGAGATGTTGTGGAAGCATCCAGTTCAGCAGATTTTCCAGCACCAAAGCAGACTTTGTAGTTCCTGGTCCATAAATTATTTTGTACTATTAAATGAACTTCCAAGACCCCATAGAGATCTCCTATTCTTAGGATCTAATGGGAAATGACAACCCAGGAAGAATGTTTGGATTGGCAGAGTCTGTGCTTTAAGCTTTTTTAAAAATGCAAGTCTGCTTTTTGTAGGTTTGATCTCTTCTTGGTTACAGAGTGCCAGGAAGATGTATCCACAGAAGGCACCATATTATCTTCGCTGAACTGGTTTGAAACTCAGTTCCAGGGTATAGACTCATGAAAGAGAAACCATGCAGCTGAAAGCTACAGTAGACTTCAGGAGATCAATTGTTTCAAAATCCTCCCCTCCATATAGTCCATTCCTGGCTGGGGATAAAGGATGCAGGAACATTGGGCTTTCAGCTACTCAGGACTGGACCCAATCCTAGATTTTCTTTCTCTTACTTTAGTATTCTTTAATCATATCACACAATCTCTGGAGCCAGCACTCAGAGGAGAGCAGAGACGATGGGACTTTTAGCCACAGCCCATGGGGAAGAGTTGAAGGTAGGGAAATATGTAGCTTGAAACTTCTAAACTTAATGACAAGAGAGCAGTCTTCATTATTTGGAAGGGATTATTATCACCCCACCACCACCACCATATGGTTACAAGAGGCTAACCCAAGAACCATGGGTTGAATTTTGGAAAAAAATTGCATTATTTTAAAAAGCTTCTAGGGTTATGAGTTTTCTGAAGTTGGAACTGAATAAATGGAGAGATAATTGGTAGGGAAGCTGCTGTGTAGAGAGGATGTGATCAGAGGAAGAACAGTTATGCAGGTTAACAGAGAATCTACAACCACTCTCAAATCAATATGCACTGTGGGACCTTCCTCACAATTTACTGACTTGTTTCAATCACTCATGCAGTCCAACCACACAGAGGGCTGAAATCAGATTTTTTTTTTTCTCAGAGTCTCCTGTCAGAAACCTTCAAGGGACTTTCACACTAAAGTAACTTTAGTTCAAAGTGTACTTACCACACGTCTTGCAAAGTTGGCTTGGAATGAGAGAAAACAATAGGAACCCCACTAAGGGTAGCTGGTGGTATTGTCTCATCTCTCCAACAGTGCCCTGGAGTGTTGAGGGCTTTGCAGTTCCAACAGTGTTGAGGGTTTTACTTGGATGATGGGAAGTGGGTAATGAGAGCTTCTCTTTCAGGTTGCTGCAACTTCTTTCACTCAAGTAAATATTGAGCAATATCAGGAGGTGTGGTCAAGTGTATTTGTTCAAGTAATATGATGAATCAGGAAGAAGACTTGAAAGGTATCAGGCAGAATGAGGAAACCCATTTTCTTTGTTTCCTGTTCTAAACCTTCAGAGTTCATATTAATTATTTGCCTTCTGTTCAATAGACATAAATTAGTTGAATGACTGCTTTTGGTGGTGTTTTCTTCTTTTTCATCCCAGTTTGGTTATGTCTTATTTATGTCTAATGAGAGATTAGATTTGATGGGACAAAGGCATACAACATATACATGGAGGGGGAAGTTTTAAGTCTGAAAAAGGAGCAGGCACAGTTGGGAAGCCTGGCACTTGGGAGATTCTTTCTCCTTAGATGCCCTGAAAGTTTCTTAGACCAGGAGGAAAACCAGAGAGAGATACATCAAGTGTGGATTTCTGCCCTGCCAGAATATGCTGCATGTGAGGTGTTGCTATCATGTTTCTTCCAAGAACTGTTAGAGAATCCTGGCAGCCTAGTTGAGGACTTGAGCATGGGTTAGTGAGGCAGTGTTCCTCTGTGATGGCTACTTTTTGGTGACAGCTTGACTGGCCATAAAGTGCCCAGATGAGATTAACATTTGAATAGGTAAATTCAGTGCCAACCAATCTACTGGGGGTTTGAACAGAACAAAAGGTAGAGGATTGAGGAATTCACGTCTTTTTGCTTCCTGCCAGCTTGCTTGAGCTGTGGGGCATCTCATTCCTGAGCCCTTGGGTTGGGATTTATACCGTCAGCTGCTCTGGTTCTCAGGCCCTCAGACTTAGACTGAGTCACACCACTGACCTATGTTTCTGGTTTGCAGACAGCTGACTGGGACTTCACAGCCTGCATAATTGGATGAATCAATTACTCATAATAAAACTACGTGTTCTCTGCAACTCTCTCTCTATATGTCTCTCTTGGTCTCTCCCACACTGTTTCTGATTCTGTTTCTCTGGAAAACCATGATACAGCTTCCTTACATGCACCGTATCCAGTCCATACAAGGCATTTAGGAAATACATATTCAACATAGAATATCATAATAGAAGCCAGGGGATATTAAGATAAGATAAATTCAGTGAAGGTTCTAGGTAAAGGCTTCCTTCCTTCCTTCCTTCCTTCCTTCCTTCCTTCCTTCCTTCCTTCCTTTTTTCTTTCTTAAAGATGTATTTATTTATTTCAAAGAGTCACAGAGAAGGAGAGGCAGAGGAAGAGGCAAAAAGAGAATCTTCCATCTGCTGATTCACTCCAAATGGCCACAATGGTTGGCCAGGCTGAAGCCAGGAGCCAGGAGCCCTATCTGGGTCCCCCTTGTCATTGGTGCAGGGGCCCAAGGGTTTGGGCCATCCTCTTCTGCCTTCCCAGGCACAACAGCAGGGAGCTGGATCAGAAGCAAAGCAGCTGGGGTTTAAATCGGAGCCTCTAAACGACACCAGCACTGCAGGCTGCAGTTTCACCTGCTATACCACAGAGCCGGCACAGTGGGCCCCAGTCTAGGTTTCTTAAAAGTGACACTACTAATATTTTGAACCAGACAACTCCTTGTTGTGGCAGATTTTAGGATGTGTGTGTGTGTGTGTGTGTGTGTGTGTGAATGGGGGCGGGGCAGGTGTCTTAGGCATTATATGCTGTTTAGCAATATCGTTGTCCACTACCCTTCTAATAGTTACAACAATAAAAAAACTCTAGGTGGTCCCACAAGTTCCCTGTGAATAAAATTGCCACAAACTCAGTTTGAAACCACTTTTCTAGTCTTTAAGTAGTTTTTTTGTAGGAATAATCTCATACATATCAAAAATTTTTTTAAAAGATTTATTTATTTATTTGAAAATCAGAATTACACAGAGAAAGAAGGAGAGGCAGAGAGAGAGAGAGAGAGAGAGAGGCCTTCTACCTGTTGGTTCACTCCCCAACTGGCCACAACAGCCAAGGCTGGGCCAGGCTGAAGCCAGGAGCCAGGAGCTTCCTCTGGGTCTCCTGCGTGGGTTCAGGCACCTAAGGACTTGGGCCATCTCCTACTGATTTCCCAGGCCATAGCAGAGAGCTGGAATGGAAGTAGAGCAGCCAGAACGTGAACCGGTGCTCATATGGGATGCCAGCACTGCAGGTGGTGGCTTTACCCACTATGTCACAGCGCCGGTCTCATACATATCAAAATTAATCAATCTAAGTTAACCCCCAGCAACTATACAGTCAATGATATTACCTCTTTTGTACTGACTTTTATCCCACTCATGTCCTCACTTTGCCTATATTTAGATGACTTTCCAGGATTTGTCATTATATTGCTACTTCACATATACTCTGAATTCCTTGGTCTCTATTTTCTTTCAGATACTTTTTTGGACTAACTCTGGTTAAATAAAACTCGTCTATTCTCTCTGAACCTACATAATTAATTGAGGCTGCTATAGTCTTAATGTGTGTGTCCCCCTCTTACCTTCAAATTCACATGTTGATATCCTAATCCCAACTGTGATGGTATTTGTTGGGGGTGTTTATTGCAAGCGAATGGAGAGTCAGGACACGAGAACTCTTCCTCTGAAGAATGCTGCTGGGATGCATAGAGCCAACCCAGAGCACCTCTTTTATTGACAGGGATTGCATCAGCCATGTACAGCACATGTGTGTGCTCTAACATTACTTGTAACGTTGCATGATCATCTTCAGAACATGATTTCAAGACACTGATGGGCACCTTGTGACTTGGTTTACTGGATAAGTAAGTCTGGGAAAGTAGCTGCATGTCCTCATGGGAGCCAACATTCCCATGAGAACTCAATGCTCTTCTTGATTAATAGGTCATTTATTATCTCTAATCAGTTCCTGTGGCCACAGCCTCTGTTCAGGAAGAGTGTGTCCTAAACTGAGAATGCTGTTGCAGAAACTTTGTTCCCTACGGTATCAGGAAGTGAGGCTTTGGGAGCTGATTGGGTCATGGAAGTGGAGCCCTCATGAATGGATTTAGTGCCCTTACGAAAATGGCTCTAGTGAAACCCTTTGCTCCTTCTACCATGTGAAGTCACAGCGAGAAAGCCTCACCTATAAGGAAGCAGATCCTCACCAGATCCAAATCTGCTCTCACCTTGGTCTTGGACTTCCCTGCCTCCAGAACTGTGAGCAATAAGTGTTTATTATTTAAAAGCTATCTAATTTATGGTATTTTTTAGAAAACTTTTATTTACTAAATATAAATTAAGTACAACTTTTGGATTATAGTAGTTTTTTCCCCCATAACCACCCTCCAACCCCCAAATCATCCCATCTCCTACTCCCTCTCTCATCCCATTCTTCATTAAGATTCATTTTAAATTATCTTTATATACAGAAGATCAACTTAGTATATACTAAGGAAAGATTTCAACAGACTGCACCCACACAGACACACAAAGTAATTTATGGTATTTTGTTACAGAAGCCCAAACAGACTAAGATATAAGCTAAACAAAAATAAACAATTGTGTTAATTTGGCTTACTCTCCTCAATTAATATTTACTAAGCTCCATTGGACCTGAATTGGTGACTGATAATTAAAATATTCCCAACACAATTAACTTTCCTATTATCTTTTTAAAAAATATTGATTTATTTATTTGAAAAACATATTTACAGAGATGCAGAGGCAAAGAGAGAGGGGGAGAGACAGAGAGAGAGAGAGAGAGAAAGAGAGAGAGAGATCTTCCATCCACTGGCTTATTCCTCAAATGGCCACATCGGTCAGTTCCAAAGCCAGCAGCCTGGAACTTCTGGGTCTCACACATGAGTGCAGGGGCCCAAGGTCTTGGGCCATCTTCCATTGCTTTCCCAGGCACATCAACAGGTAGCTGGATCAGAAGTGGAGCAGCTGGACTCAAGTTGGTATACCCATATGGGACACCAGCACTGCAGGGAGTAGCTTTAACCACTTTGCCACAGCACTAGCCCCTATTATCTTTTTTTTAAAATGTAAACAATGATTGGAGTGTCTGTTTCTTATTTAAGACAATATATAATTTTCAAATAATTATCAAAAGTGAGTGTATTTAATCATACAGAATTCAAAATAGAGTCAATGTGTGAAGAGAGTAATAACCCATATTATAGCATGTTTAATGAATTGGCAACAGATAAAGTTTATTGGAAGAAGGCAGGGAGACTTTGTCTTGGAAGAATTACAACGAAGGAGCTCCATAAACACCTGGCATCTGCTCAATGTTGCATCTATGGTTAGAAATGTACATGATAGGAATCCTAGGGATCTTGGGATTCTTCTTTAAGGTGGTTATCAACTGTGACCATGATTTAAGACTTGTACTGAGTCACTCTGTACTAAGCTATCATCTGCATAGGTTCTTTGTATGTTTATGGTAATCATTCAAATCTTGGATTCCTGGCATTCCTAGTGCCACTCAATATTTCTGCCCCAGTTTCTCAATTTTTGCCATTTCACAATTACAAGGGATGCACCTGGAATACAGAAAGTCCATCATTGATTGTTCTAAGTCCAGTTTGGCTTTAATGAAAAAGTTGAGAAAGTTGGTGCCAACCAGGATGTTGTAAGTAGACCCAGCTGTGTGTTATATTGGAAGAATAAGCAGGAAGAGTGTTGGGGACTTCTGTGCCCTTCAGTGCACTGGGCTCTTTCTTTTCCTCTTTGTGGGTTTTAGTCCAGCCTTTCCGTTAAGCATCTGATCTCTTAGACAAAGCATTCTCTTCATGGTCACGTACTTCTTTGCTTTCTTTTTCTAACCCATGCTTTCACAGCACTCTTGTTTCCTCCAGTCCTATTAACCTATATAGTGGTATTGTACCATGTGCTCTCTTCTCAGATAATGCCTGCTATCTCATCCTCTCTCTTATTTGATGCCCTTGTTGTCTATTTTTCTGAGAGGACTGAAACAAATGAGAAAAGATATCTTTATAAGATCTCACTGCTGCTATATGGAAATCTATGTCCACATGCTCTATTCTGCCTTCTGTTATGCAAAGGGAAGGTCCTCTCCTGACCTTTGCCTTATTCTCATTG